AAGCCAAACTGATAGCGTTTGTGTCGGCCCGAAGCAGGAAGGCTAAGCAACGAGCAACAATGGCTGCCAAGCTATCTCTGAGCTTAGCCAGAACGAGGTTTAGGGAGGCGGAGTGAACACAGGCGTTCAAAGCTGGTCCAATGAATGCAATGACACATCTCGCTGGAGGTCCTGACCGAGGAACTCCTAACAATCAGAGCCAGCTCGAGGTTGGTCACTGTGTCCTTTGCTCGGTCACGAGAACACGACCCGACGAGGGTATCTGTGCGCGTCACATGAGTTTACACGCTTGCAACGGTTCATAGTATGCTGCGCAAAACCCAAAGCGCGTTGGTGTGAAAGTCTACCCTGGCCGCAGGGAGCCTAACCAGCTCCGCAGCACCCACGAGAACTCCTGGCAAGTTTTTGGAGTTGGAGAGAGAGCCTCTGTGGTATTGTTCCTAAAGGTGCTGCGAAGACTGAGCAGTGCAGTCGGTTAGCCGCAGGAGGGTAAAACCCATTTGTCAGGAATGCGGCCTTCAGCATACCTTTGTTGGTGCCTGAGAGCTGTTGCTGGCGCCTCGGAGGCTCCAAAATCAAGCGAAGATGCTCCCTGCAGACTTTTGCCAGTCGAGGTAGACAGGTGCGTGACGAGCCAGAGAATTGCAGGACGCTGAATTGAAGACTGCATAAACAAACTCGAACCCTTACGAGCCGGCTCCCAGGCCTTCTCAGCTTCACGGCTGACGATTTGAACAGAATCGGCATGCCCCTCGCCGAGTACGAAACAAGCAACCTCTTGGCGCTTCCTGGCGCTTCCTGTCTCTTGGCCAGGTATGGCTGGACCTGCCTGCGGCCGAAGCTTCTCGACAGGCGAGCGCATCAGGGTGCATCGGACCACCGGAGAGATCGCCACTTTTCGCCGCTGTTCTGTTTTTCGCCGTTTTGGATCCTCCTTGGTCTCATTTGCTGCTCAGGCCTTGGACGCAAAAGCCTGGAGAACTGCGAGAGGCCCACGGAAGTTGCGCGATCATCCAGCGAAGACTCTGTGCCAAGCGAAGCTCGTGACTTGACGACCCCTCGTTGCACCCCCCCAACGAAATCTGTTGCATGCCTTGATTGGGCTCGCAGCGTCATCGTCGTGTTATCACGGCAAGACTTGGACGGCGCCAAGAATGGCCGCAACATAGACTACTGATTGCTGTAGTCAGTCATTCCTTGCATCCAGCGAACCCGCATATTTGATCACAAAGCCCCGACCCTGAAGCCCCTAAGTGCAGAAAGGAAGCATGCACTTGCCCCGGCTAATGTTTTATAAAACATGATTTCAAGGAACAGATGGTTTCTTAGCCAGTGCTTCTGCTGCTACTGTAGCTCATCATGTCTAAGCTACGAGCCAATGTGATTGGCAACGGGTTCGCCAGACTGCGAGGAATCTTGGCCAACGTAACTCCTAAACCCTAAAACCTGAACGCAAAGCCCCCAATCCAAACTGAGGTGGCCAGAATGGACCTGGGATGCGCGAGAGAGAGAGAGAGAGAGAGAGAACAGCTTCCGTGAAACACGCGGAAGCTGCACCAATGGACCGTGGACTTCGCGCGCCCCTGGGGGCGGCCTTCTCCTCCGGGAGGGGGCCAAGCGTGCAGAGAGAGAGAGAGAGAACCGTTGTCCCCTTAGGCTCCTCCGCTGGGTAGAAGAAGAAGATAAGGGAAGAAATGCAACAAGTTAGCGAATGCAGTCTTTTGCATGCGTGTGTTTGCTAAGACAAACCACAGCTCAGCGAATACCCGACCATGGAGACCTCTTCACCAGCAAGCTTGGGTTAGGATTTTGAATGGAGGGCCGCTTCGCACTGCTCGCGCTCGCAATACTGTAGAACACCGCTATTGTTGCAGAGGATGCCAACTGGCCACAGCTTTCAGCGAATGTGTCAACGCGCCGTATCGAACCAAGGATTTGATTATACGCACGACGAAGAGCAACAGGCCCAATCTTGAAGTCAGTAGTAGTAGTAGTAGTAGTAGTAGTAGTAGTAGTAGTAGTAGTAGTAGTAGTAGTAGTATTATAAGTAGTAGTAGAGTAGTAGTTTTGTAGTAGTAGTAGTAGTAGTAGTAGTAGTAGTAGTAGTAGTAGTAGTAGTAGTTTTAGTAGCAGTAGTAGTACTGGTAGTAGTAGTAGTAGTAGTAGTAGTAGTAGTAGTAGTAGTAGTAGTAGTAGTAATCGCCCGCAATGAGCAGAGCCCGCTCGCTCAGCGTTCAATAAAAATAGTAGTAGTAGTAGTAGTAGTAGTAGTAGTAGTAGTAGTAGTAGTAGTAGTAGTAGTAGTAGTAGTAGTAGTAGTAGTAGTAGTAGTAGTAGTAGTAGTAGTAGTGTAGTAGTAGTAGTAGTAGTAGTAGTAGTAGTAGTAGTAGTAGTAGTAGTAGTAGTAGTAGTAGTAGTAAGTAGTAAGTAGTAAGTAGTAAGTAGTAAAGTAGTAAGTAGTAAGTAGTAAGTAGTAGTAGTAGTAGTAGTAGTAGTAGTAGTAGTAGTAGTAGTAGTAGTAGTAGTAGTAAGTAGTAAGTAGTAAGTAGTAAGTAGTAAGTAGTAAGTAGTAAGTAGTAAGTAGTAAGTAGTAAGTAGTAAGTAGTAAGTAGTAAGTAGTAAGTAGTAAGTAGTAAGTAGTAGTAGTAGTAGTAGTAGTAGTAGTAGTAGTAGTAGTAGTAGTAGTAAGTAGTAGTAGTAGTAAGTAGTAAGTAGTAAGTAGTAAGTAGTAAGTAGTAAGTAGTAAGTAGTAAGTAGTAAGTAGTAAGTAGTAAGTAGTAAGTAGTAAGTAGTAAGTAGTAAGTAGTAAGTAGTAAGTAGTAAGGTAAGTAGTAGTAGTAAGTAGTAAGTAGTAAGTAGTAAGTAGTAAGTAGTAAGTAGTAAGTAGTAAGTAGTAAGTAGTAAGTAGTAAGTAGTAAGTAGTAAGTAGTAAGTAGTAAGTAGTAAGTAGTAAGTAGTAAGTAGTAACTAGTAAGTAGTAAGTTGTGCGTAGTAAGTAGTCAGTAGTCAGTAGTCAGGTGTCAGTAGTCAGTAGTCTCAGTAGTCGTCATTACTACTATAAGTATGATTGTTGTTTTTGAAGCTTTTGGCACCATTATTTGTAGTAGTAGTCGTCGTCGGCGTCGTAGTATTGTAGCAGAAGCAGGAGTAAGATTAATAGTACAGGTAAGCATTCGCAAGAGTAGGAGGAGACGTAGTGAGTGGTAATGGTAGTGGTAATGGTAGTTGTGGTAGAAGTAGCAGCAGGTAGCAGTAGCAATAGGAGTGGCAGGCTGAGTGGCGCGTGCAGTATGCACCCTGAGCAACTGCTATCGTATGTGCGAGCACGGTGCCAATTGGGGCTCGCTTGTTCAGTCTAGTAAGTGTGCGTAGCATGTGTCGCATGCGTGCGTCGTGTGCGTCCTGGCAGGCCGATGTTCAAGACAATGCTGGCCAAGAAAGGATACGAGTTCAGAAGATGCCTGTGAGCGGGTCCTATAGAGTGGGCTACCCTGTGAAATTGCAAGTAGGCATGCAGACTTCGAGGAAGTAGAGTATCAGAAGGGGAAGCACAATAAGTAGAGCAGTGTTCTGAGGATAAAGCTCAGAGAGCTTGTATTGAGAAGCTTGTGCTCACAAGTTCGGTTGTTGGTGAGTAGTGTGATCATGCATATCACACACACATAAGTATACACACACACACACTCTGCGGCGGGAAAGGCCAGACGAGTCAAGCCTCGCATATGCCTTGCAGCAGCCATCGTGGTTGTTCAGGCACCCAAAAACGCAAGGTGATCCTTTCAGCAGCAGTGTGCACACCACCGCCTGCTGAACAAAGGCGATGAAATCCAAGACGCAGGCAGCGTACATCTGGAGCAGCACCCAATGCATCGGCTAGCGTAGTCCAAACACCATGATTGCCGGGGAACAAGCACAACATTTTTCGTGCGTCCAATAGACGTACGCATTGGATATCAATCTGAGAGACAGATTGTGTCACAACAACTGCATGAAGTTGTTGCACGTGGAGCCCTTTGACCAGTGCAATGCTCCAATGCTCCAATGGAACGGGCTGCTGGCCGTGATGCCATCCAAACTGATCTGACGATAGCCACAGCATCAAAGATGTCATGCTACTTGTAATGTTGGAAAGCTTTTCAGCAACAATTGCTCATCCGAACATCCCCAACACCATTTTGAATTCTACTGGGCCGTCATCCGCCCACCACGAGACGGAGTGCCGTACCTGAGCGCTTTGGCTTCAACAGCTGGACGACGGCAACCGCTCAAGCATGTGCTGGCCACCATGATTCCGATTCACCGTCTTAATCACAAACGGGTCATTGCTTGCCGTTGCTCATGGCGCGCTTGGGGCGATCAGTTGGCTCCATGTCACAGCCGCGCCCTCGATGGCCCAGACGAAGAAGCTTCTCACAGCTGAAAGCGTCCGGGGCACGATCGGGTCAGAGTCCAAGCCGAGGAGGATCAAGTTTTCCATACGTGTTTAGCGACAGTCTCGAGCGACAAGGAAGACAACCCCCGCACAAAGCTTCACCTAAAGACTTACAACATCGCACTCGACATGCATTGAAGAGCCGAGTGCAGTGGAAGTGGTTTCCTTACAGGATTTGTGTACGATATATATATATATATACATATATACATATGCATATATGTATGTATGTATGCATGCATGTATGTATGTATGTACGTATGTATGTATGCCTGTTTACCTATATTTCGTATAGACTGGACCACTTCGTTGCGCGGGAGGCTTGATTCAACCGTATACGATGAGAAAAATGACAAGTGTGATGTGAATGTTGCTGACAGCAACATTCCAAGTACGATGCGTTGTATGTTTCGATCACAACTTCTGATAAAAATAGCACAGCAAATTTCCGGTGTAAAGGCCTGTGAGTAGCTTCGAGAAAGGTTATCAATGAGCCTTTGGGACAAACTTGGAATGTAGTCAATGTATTCTGCCTCACTTCAGGAGTTGGGAGGTTGTACGACATCGCATGGCCCTGCTCATTACAGCAGGACGTGGCTGTAGCGAACCTGTTTAATTGTGGAGTTTGGCAGTTGTCTGACAGCAATAGCGATGCGGCGGTAGACTCTCAACCCCGTCTCAGATGCTGGGACTATCTGGGGCCACCTGCAACGGATGAACAACGCACTGTAACAGCAAGCCCGAAGACCTCTTGGCATAGCTTGAAGCTTTTGCTTGGGAACTTTTGCTCAGAAGTTTGCCGAAACAGCCGTAAAAGCTGTGTCATAGTGTAGGCTCACAATATAATGCTTTCGTTGCTTGCAGGACTGGCCTGCACCGGGCTGGCCCTCTGGGCGCTGTGCAACTGGCAATTCCCGGCCTTTGGTCTGCTTCAGGAGGTGCTCAGATTCCTGAGATGTGCTTTTGGCAAAATTCGGATTAGGCGGTGAAGATATAAGACACTTCGCCAGGCGAGAGCTCTTTCCAATTCGCCGCTCGGCCAAAACAAGTGGATCGCCGAATTGCCTCCTCATCCATGATCTCAATCGTTCTTGTTATCTAAGTCTTTATCTTTCCTTTTCTCTTTCAGTAGAAAGCATCAGAAAACACAGCACACCCTTTGGCTCCGAGGCTGGTGTCGTCGCTGATGTCCAACTTGCCTGTGGAAGTGCAAGGATGACACTTGACACCTGCAGAGCTTAGAGTCTTGGAGCTTAAAGCTTCTCCTTCCCCAAGCTTCAGTTTAGGTTTCACAAGCACGAAGGAAGTTAGGACTTCCGCTGGCTCGCGTAAGCACCAGGTCCGGTGGTGTGTGTTTCGGTGTGTGGGCAGAGCCCGTGCAACCGGTCGCAGGCAAGCTGTCTGCAACGGTTTCACGCTCGCCACAGTGGTGCAACATGATGTTATGCAGCGACATGTTCAAGCGGCAGGATGGTGTGAACACTGAAATGTAGCTTCATTCTGTCCACACCACCAAATACTACACCTGCTTGGCAGCATGAAGCATCTGGCCTCCTATTCACATGAGGTGGTAGAGGCAGCGCTTGGCAGCGCATTGCATTAGCAGGAAACAACAACTTTATAATTAAAAAAACAGGCCAGATCAGCTTCAAGGCTTGCCGCCACTTTCCTCATCCCCCGCTTTTAGCCACTGCAGTCTGGAAGGTGGCGGTGTTCATGGTCAGAGCACCCCACTCTGAATGAATCTCTTCTTGTCTTTGTGACCCAAATCCGTGAACCGTCTGGACGCGCAGAAATGGCATGAGTAAGCAGAGCCAGCATGCACCAGAACTCAAGGGCCTCCGTCCTTGCTTAACAGGGCTACTGGCGATGCCTGGGGGAGTTTGGCGCAGGGCCTTTGCCTCAAGAATCATCCGAATGAGACATTGCAATAGATTGACTGCACTTTGACTTTCGCATCCTTGGCCCCACTGCCACAGCTCCGGATTGCTTGAGGCTGCTGCTTGCAGGTCATCTGCCGACGGCTCTTCAGCCATGCTCGCATGCTTTCGTGGGGTTCATGACGACCTCTCGCTCTCTCAACAGGAAGGATCTCTCCTCTCTCTCTCTCTCTCTGTGGTGTGCTCGAGATATTCTCCAGAGATTTATTGTGACCCCTTGCGATGCACTATGAACGCCCCACTGAAAGATCCCCGGTTCCTGGCTTCCGCGCAGCCTAGTGATCTAGTATGATCTAGTCAGATTTCATGAGAATTTTCCCTTTTGAGTGCCAGGGCATGCCAGCAAGCGGCTCACGGATGTGCCTCTCAGCCAGGGGCTCAGAGAATCACAGGCTGCTTCAGACTTCCCCGCAGGACGACTAAATATTGTCTGCGGTCCACTGAGTGACTGAGTTTACATTGTCGCGTGGACTGCTGTGCAGGTTTTTCTTTACCCCCCAAACACAAGTTACAAGCAGCCGCGTCTGTCCGGAGCGCGGGAGTTGCTAGGGTTTGCGCGTTTTTAGGTTCCTTAAACCAAAGCCATCCCCTAAAATACCTTACGTCCTGGAAGGCCTAAAGCGAGACACACGAAACCTCAAGACCCCTAAACTCTCCAAACTTCCATGGCTTGGGGCTTTTAGGGCTTGCAGGGATTTGCCATGCTTCCATGAGTTTGTGTGGGGGTGAGAGTCTTTAAACTCTAAGGCTTAGTGTCTGGGCCTTTTCGCGGCTCGTGCCTTTAGGGCTTGGGGTTTGAAGGTTTGGGATTGAGGACTTGGAGGCTGCAGGGTCTGATGGTTTTAAGGCAGTTCAACTCGCAGTTCAGGTGTTTTTGTTGTCTAACACACTTGTGTGTGTAGGGACAAACTGAGCGTCGTCCGCCGGAGCCGACGACTGCTCAAACGCGCCGCTTTCGATTTAGCTCTCATTCCGTGATCCCGACGCCGTGTCCGGCTTCACCATCGACGAGCTGATCACCGCCCTCACCCTGGCGACCACGTCGCCGGATGCCGCCCTTACCCTCGTCGCGGCGATTCCTATGCCGGTGAGGGCGCTTCGACCACATCCTGCCGCCGAACCTCCTCTTCGCGTCGCTCGCTCGCGACTCGGCGGCAAGGACTGACCAACCTGGGGCGGCATCCGGCGCACCGGCGGCGCAGAGCAGTACCGGCGAGGACCTCGACGTCTCCGGCCCGATCAACGACGTCCCGGAGGAGACGGTGCCACCGGCGGACCAGGACTACCTCGGCCACCTGGACACCCTCGACGACACGATTCCCGTCGTCCCCGAGGTAAATGCGGAGCCTGGCCCGCCGCCGTCCTCATCAGCGTCATCCGTCGGCGAACCGCCGGCGCCTGAGGGGGTGCCCAATCCGGGCCTGGCCGTGGCTGGGGGCTTGCCGGAGCCCATGCCGGAGGACCGCGTCGACGACGTGGAGGCCCGGCGCAACCGCAACCCCATCGTCGAGGAGGAAGACGAGGGGCCGGGCGCCAGCGTTGAGCCGCCGACCATCATCCCGGCGGTCACCAAGGCCCAGCCCGTGCCCGTCAAGGCGGCGCCCAAGTAGGGGGCGCCGGGCGGGTGCCGAATGCGCCCCCGGCGCCGGCCCCGACTTTCGGCGGACTGGAATACCCGCGCGCGTTCGCGCTTCGTCGCAAAACATGCACTCGTTTTGGTCGCATGTAAGCGGCGTTTGTCGCACAGGATCTGCTTGGTGGCTGAGTCTGCGGATTAGGGTCAACAAAGTAGGGGCTGGCACCGGAAACGCAGACAAGAACAACATAAGTAGTATGCTTTTTGCTTTTCTGAAATAGCCCGCATTCATGTGCGAAGGTTTGGTGTGCTGCACGCCGAGAGCCTTCGCCTTCGGTAGCCCTCTCAGACGTGACCTTCAGCTTTGCAGAATTGCAAGTAGAAGCCCATTCAGAAAGGCACAACTTCGCTGCGGCCTGCCGCAACTCAGGGGCTGCTGCTTCTGTCTCAGATGTGAGATGTCTTGAGATCTCTTGGAGCTGGGAGCCTTGGTAGCTTCGTTGAATTTCGTTGGTTTATTGCCTCCAAGGCTGAAGCGGAGCAAAACTTTCAGGCCGTGTGGCAAGGCCGAAGCCGCCTTTTGGGGCCGGCTGCCCAGGCCACCCAGGTGACGATTTGATCTCAATGGCCGATGGCCCCTAAGGGAGAACCATCCGGCGACTGTGCCGAGCTCAGATGAGCCCCCCCACAGCCCTCTTCGCCCAATGTATCTCTCATCTTCTTAAGAGGCCAGCAGAGGGGGAGTCAGGTAGACCGGAACAGAAAGCGAGCCGATGTTGACAGAAACACCCGCAAAAGATGTCTCCCCGCTCTTGAGGTGCGCTCCATCACCGAGCCGGGACCCTCATTTCAAACGGCTCACAGTTGCAGCATTTTCAAAGGATGCCCACTGGGGCGCAAGTGCTTCCGAAGCGATTTGATTGCAAAAAGCTTTCGGCAAAGAGCTTTGGTAAACTTTGTGGTCCAGGTTGGCCAGTGTCGTGGCTTCAGACCTGCGCCGACGAAAGGAAGCCCAGGCACCGGCTATCGGCTATCAGGGGATATCAGGGGGCTGCCAATGCTCCAAGCGAAGCCTTAGAAGCCGAAGCCGTCAGGCGCACCCTTTCTGCTCCCCCTTGGCTCGCTGCTACGCTGCTACCCGTATTTGCGAGGCCTTGTTTCGCAAAGCTCTTGAAGCAAAGCAGGCTCGTTCTGCCACGCACTTTGCCGTTTATGTTCCTGGCCAAGTCCCAAACTCAAGAGGCTTGCTATGGAGCTTCGCATCCAGAGACAGCAACGCCGGGTCCTTACGCTGATCTGTGCAGTCGATTGCATGCCAGCCAAGAAGTTGGCTTTGCCTTGCACGTTAAATCCGATGGAAAGATCCGCACAGGTGCATGATTGCCCTGGCATACTCGCTCTGGCAGGTTGGGAAGTGGGCCTGTGTCAGGGAGGATCTTTGAAGCTGCCGATGTCAGGATGGACAGAGGGGCGAAGCTGAAGAGCTCTACAAACGAGCTTTGTTGTCTCGCTGGCCAGCTTGACCTGTAGGATTGTAAGTTGCTAGTGGGTATAGATTGCTGTAGCCCGTCTCAATTTGTGAATGGGAGCGACAAATGACAGAATCAGCGAGTCCACTCTTGGTCCAGCACACGACACCACTCTGCCCCGGGCCTTAGTGTGAGTTGTGTCAGCCTTTGCTGAGCGTTTGGAAGTAAAGGGTAGCAATATCCATCGGCTGGAGGCACTGCCTAAACAACTTGGCCGCCATTGCAAAGGAGTTGGGTCGCCAAGGGGAGTTGGCCCCTAGCTCAGCGGAGCACGTCTGCGGGTCCAATGTGTGGCGTGCAACTTTGAGAAGTCTCACGTGGCTTCATGTGGCTTCGCTGCAAGGATCGGCTACTTGGCCGTCGGCCTGGAGAGAAGCGTGTGAAAGCTATTGAGCGCTGACGCTCTTGACAAGCCAGGTTTCAAAAAGGCTTTGTGTTCAGAGGTGTCAGCGTCAAGTTTTCACCCCGTTTCGATAGATTGCATGTGCAGACGCCCCGAAGGGGCAGTGCATCAGTCTGACGAGAAAAGCCGCTGGCAGTTGCACCATTACTTGTTTCCAGCCTAGAAGTCTAGTAGCGCAGCCCCCTGTTTCTAGTTTCAGTTTTGCTGAGCCCATGACGTTCCTTCAATATCCTTCGATCATCAGATGTGCTACATCCACCTAAAGTCAGCGAGTTGCGTGGGCTTCTTGTTGGGGATCCAACTGAGAGTAAGCTCTCCAGGAACCGTATGACAGAACGACGCCTCCAAAATATTCGTGCCGTGAAGCATCGTGAGGATGACGTCTTCGTACCATCTTAGTAAATTTCATCGAGCCAAAGCCAAAACCACGACAATTTGCACCGGCAGCGTTCTCTAGCTGCTGTATGTTCTTGCATGGCAAGACATGGCAAGGGACTATAGCCCGAACAACACGATGTGGGCGGCTCTTGCGCATACCACAGACTGTCATGGCGAGTTTGCTTTCTCAGTTCCCCACCGCAACCGAACTTTGCACATGAATAGCTACGTAGCCAAAACACAGTGAACAACCCGGCAACATGCAGCTAGCTTGTACATGTTTGTACCCTTACCATCTCATGCACACAAGCGGTACAGACAGCCCTTAATTTATCCTACCCCTCGAAGTCACTGCACAGCTGTCTCGGCGTGCCAATGCACCTGGGCAGCGTTTGTTTATTTTAGGATCTGCTTCAAGTTTTGCTGTTTGTGCTGTGACTGATGTTGACTGTTCAGGTTTCGGCGCGCGTGCAGCTTGATGATAGGTATCATGTGCTGAGAAAAATCAGCTGCCCAGGCTGCCGGCGAGGAATGTTGTGTGAGCCGCATGGAGGCGCAAGGCCTGATTCAGGATTCCGAGAGGGATTCCTCTCAGCCCCTCCCAGATTGGATCAAGGACCAGACCGGCAGACCTGCAGGAGACCTGCTGTTGTTACTGTTGTCGTCTACTTGGCTGTTTCCGCTTCTGCCTTTGAAGAGCGACCGCTTGATCCGAGCGACTGCTGGGATTGAAGTTGCTTCGTCGCTATCAGAAGTGTCCAGGGAGTATGGATATAGTATGGATGCCCACTTGTTCATACTAGTTCTCCACTCCAGGAGACCTTTCCGGGAAGGCACCTCTCAAGGACTCGGGGGAGGCTTGAGAAGAGTGGCGGCGGGGGGGGGGGGGGGTGAGAGCAAATGGACCACTCGCAATGGCAACAGCTGTTGCGCGAGCTTTGGAGCGAGCTTCTGCGCAAGTACTGTTTGTTGCAAGAAGAGCGCTTGCAAGAGAAGTTTCCTTGTCGAAGATGCTGTCTATTGCTGTTGTTCATGCAGGACCATGCGGACAGGGCCGGAAGCCTCGAAGCCAATCAGAGGCCAAGCCTTCGCCTCGGCGCCAGCGCCACCGCTTCTCGCAGGGGTCGGAGATTCTTTTTTTTGTGTGGGCGGGTGCCACGGGGTTTAGGGTTGGTTCCATCCCTCGCCCCTTCCCTCCTCTAGAAGCAGATACATGTCGTCTCCGAACAGGAAGAGGACGAAATTCCTCGACTTCCTTTACAACTTCTTCCTACTTGACCTGAACGCCTGCGTATGTATGATTTTTAGTAGTGTGGTAGATCATCGTCGCTCGATGAGCCTCCAAGGCTGTGGCATCCGCGGCAGCCGTGATTGGGCTGGTGCTGACTTGCCTTGGCCTGGCCTTGTGGACCCTTCCTCGGTCGGACCCTGGTCCATGTGGCTTGCCATGACTGGTCTGACTGAGCTTTCATCATGCAGTTCTGATGCGTGTCACTGGTGCGTTACTATTACACACTGTTTTTTAGGATCTTTTGTTCAACGTTGGGCAGCTCGTTTCTGCCGCAGACCGGAGTGCCTGAAACAAGTCATGGGCACACGATCAACAGGTATCGAGCTGATGGGCGCGGACCAGCCGTGGCTCGGCTGAACTCTGCGATGTTGAATCGTTCTCGCACGAAGCATCATCGCAGAACTATTATGCAAGACGCACCTGAGGCAGCTGGCCTGGGCTGGAAAGCAAGACGGTCCACTTGAGCGCAAGCTGGGAGTCGAGCACACAGCCAGACGTTGTGAGATGTAGCATGTAGAAACAACATTTTTTCAAGTGCAAGTTGTTGGTAAGGTCATCACTCCGACGCAAGCTGCGTGGATTGTGGTACAAGCTGGAAAGACAGCCAAAGAGGTGGCCACACAAACATCCAAGCTAACCAAAGAGCTTGCAGCTGATACCTGCTTGCATTTGGTCTGTTGGTTCCTATGTCCTATTACTCATGAAGCACGGCTTGCATACTGCCAAAAGGGATGAAATTGATGCTTGCTGATCTCAGGAAGCCGCACCTCGCGTCACTTGCATAAACTTCAGCATTTCTGAATGGCTTGGCAGCAGCTCGCTGAATTGTCGATGTTTGCGTGTGTCAAGTCTTGCGTGGTCCAGCACTGGCAGGTCAGCCCAAAGAAGATCCAGAAGCGCAACCGCGCACGCTGTATTCTGCAGACGCTGGCGGTGGGTGAGAGCATCGCCAAGGTTCCGGCGCGAAGAACATGTTTCACTAATGAAGCGATTTACAGCGCTGAGACCTAAGAAGCACCACTAGTTTGGGATGATTTTGTGGTGTGCTTGCACTCCACTCGAACCACTGCAGTAGAACTTCATGTTGAGAAAGCTATGTCTGCGATCAGACTCTTGACCTTGTCGACATGTGCGAACCTGGCCTGGGTGGAGAAGACTTTCTTATCTGAGATGAGAGTGTGAATTGGGTTCGGAAACAGCGCATCACATCCTCGAGAAAAGCCACAAAACGGCTACTAGAGATGCTCCTCAAACCTTTGTTGCTGCTGGGCGGGAGAAATTATGGGCGAACCTGAAAACGTATAATCTCACCTAAGTTGCCCTCCGTGCATTTGCAGCGTATTTGCCGCGCATGTTGGCCCCTGTCCAGATTGTCACCAACATCAAGGCGGCCGCCGCGGTCTGCGCACCTGCCTCTCGCAATGAAGTCTTGGGCTTGTTCTGCCTTGTGGAATTTCTCAGCTTGGAGTGGCAGCGTTTGCGATCTGCGACTATTCGGCCGCTCGCTATGCCTTGAAGTTCTGAAGTTCCTTGAATGCTTTCAGCTTGTAGAGAAGGATCGCATCTTCCGGTTCGTTCCCGGCAAGTTCGGCCGAGCGCTGCAAAAGCTTCGCAAGATCGTGTGCTCGGCGACTCATCTAAACGACTGCAAGTGACTGCAAGTGACTGCAAGTGACTGTGCGCCTCTACTCCGTCTTCGACTGAACATGGCATGACTCATGACCATTTTGAGGTCAACGTGGACCTGGTTCTCTCAGGGCTTCTGTCGGTGGCCGCGGCCCGAGCGTCAGCTGGGGCAGGGTATGGCAGGGTGCATTTTCTTCTTCGAGGGCCTGCGTGCTTGTTCGTGTTCCTCCGATTTGGCGTGCAGAAGGCTGCCAACTTGGCGGATGCGAGCATCAGCTGTTCGATTGCCGTGAACTCCACCAGCTCCCTCAACTTGAATGAGCAATTTGATGCTGGTTGTGCAAGTGTGCCTTGGCAGCCTTGGCAAACGTCGTCTAAGCTCCTGGTGGAGCCTTGCCACGCCATGCCTTACATGGGCAGGACATCTGGCAGGACAAGTCACCCGTTTCGACCTAGCAGGGAGGGCTGGAAACCCGAACCTTGTTGCGGAGCGGCGGAGTCGACGACATGTGCATTTAACATAGTCCGCGTGGCGGAGAATTAATCCACCCTAACAAAATTCTATCACCGGGGTGCCAGGAATCTACAATGAAAGGGGGAAGGATTGTTCTTGTTGCGGTCTTGTGTGCTCACGACTTCGGGTAGCGGGTCGAACTTTCGTCCTGCATGAATCGCGCCTTGCTTAGCGCTACTTCCGAGGCGACGTTCCAGCTGACCAACTCGCTAGTTGCACTCGCTGCATCTTTCTCGAGCCTTGGCCAACTTGGCCGCTCCAGAGTCACGCTCGGCATTTCGAGGTGCAACAAGCAGCACTCACCACCCCAGAGGTCCCGAGTAGTCCGACATGTCCTTTTGGGTCAGAAACATCCTGTTGGATTTGCATGCCCTGGCTTCTTTCTCGTTATGGCCAAGGATAGCCATCCCAGGCATCTGGCCTTATACTTCAGTGACTTCAGTGAGATGCCGTGCGGTCTTCCATTGAGTATTGACTATGTGAGGTGTGAGCCGAATAGCTTCTTGCAGCTTGAGCTTTTTGTGGACACTGCAACAGACACAGAGGTACATAGAGGTACACAGCCACGTAAGATCACGTAAGTACGAAGAAGCGTTGCAATCGTCATCCTCAGGCTGTGAAATTGTGGCCAAAGGCCTGGAGCAGACGGTCACTGGAGCCCTCAAAGGACTCGGACAGCGTTTTGGACTTATATCGTGAAGAAGGGACTTGGTGCTTGCATTTCTCTGATAGAGGACGTCTCTTGAGTGAAATCGCTTGACTCTGTGGCGGCCTTGCAAAGGCGCACCCCGAAGTTCACCCTGAACCCCTAGACCCTAAACCCTAAACCCTAAACCGCACGACGTCTCAGAAGGAAGTCAGGGTCGTGGCTCTTGCAGTTTTGTATGCCACAGCATCCATCACCTGCCGAAATCATCAACCCACAGTCGACATTGTCTGCCATTCTGCCTCCTTCAACGTGCACCAGGCGGTAAGGTTGCAGCATGTGAGGAGGCAGCAATACCATGCAATACCTCGCGATACCTCGCGATACCTCGCGATACCTCGCGATACCTCGGTACTGCCTTGTTTTGACTCCGTCTTGGCCTGGGCTTGGTCGGATATAGTGTCGAAGGCTACTTTGGCTTTTCCCTGAATGCTTTCTGTGTGACCGTTGCTTCTCACTGTGAGAGCCAGCCGCTCCAAATCATGAAGAAAAACTCAAGAGTCCTCGCCAACAACGGCTAATGGATCCAGATATTCACGTCCAAACGGTCCAAACGGTCCAAACGGTCCAAACGGTTCAAACGGTCCAAACGGTCCAAACGGTTCAAACGGTCCAAACGGTCCAAATGTGCAGAAGGTACCCACTTGCAGTATAGCAAGTGTCCGAGCGCTCCTGAAGATGACAAGCCAACTTTCCACATAGACGGTGCAGAAGATGGGAAACATTGGGAAACGCAAGCAGTCTCTACTGGTCATGTATGAAAAAATGCCCTCTCTGCCAAGGAAGGGCATATCCGACTTTGGAGGCACTGGCAAGTTGGTCAACCCAAGTGCACCAGCTGCAAAACAGCACGGCTTGCGCAGCGCATCTGATTTTCGGTGGTGGTGCTCACCTAAGCCCTAGCCCCAACCTGTTCAGAATTCTGGAGTTGCATGTGCTTGAAGGTGAAGTCAAGGCTGCCATCAAAGCTCTCCAAAATGAGCTGAAACCCTCCGACTTCTTGTCCCAGACAGCAGTCTTTGGGCGAAGGCTCTTTCTGGGTGGAGGCGTGGCAGTGAAGCAGTGAAGGTTCCCCGATTTGAGGGTTGTGAGGCTTGATAACTGGAACGATGTAGCAACAACACGCAACAACATGCAACAGCGTGAAGCCCGTAGAGCACCCACATGGACATGGCGCATTCTTGCCAGGCAAGGGCGCCATCATGACTCAGTGTGTGGTCGACGTCATGCAGGCGCTCACGCAGCTGTCGCTGATGGGCATTGCCATTGACACGCTGGCAAATGCCCCTCAGCAAAGAAGCACTTGTCGTGTCCACTGTGAGATGCAGAAGACTTTCCACGAACTTGACCGTCCGTTAAGGACGCCTGTGACAACCCATCTGTTGGAAGCTCCTGCGACCCAAATTTTATGCAAGGTCGCATCGAGTCTCGAAGCATCTGGAGCGTTTGCCCTTTGACTTTTTGTCTTGCTAAGGAGTGACATCGATGGCCTTGCCAAAGTTTCTTCGCAAGCGAATCGAGAATATCAGACGTGCAGCGCTCTCAGACGCGGGATGTGGCATGTGGATCAGCAGTGATTTGCCTGGTCGCACTGCAAGGCAAGCTGCGGAGCGGGCATTAGCCAAGTCATTGCTCAGCTTGGCTTGATGCTCAGGCTTGCTGTAGGATTTATTTGAGTCCTGAGCAGTGTATTCACCATGCAAGCAATACAGTACACCCCCCAAGAAAGGAGACACACCGGAAGTTGAGAGGGAGGGGGAGTGAGTTTTAGCTGAATTTGTGGGGCGTGCCGTGCTTAGAGTCTCGAGCTCCTCTTAAAGGTTGTGAGAGCAGTGGTCTGGTTGGAGTTGGTCGTTTCGGCTCAAGGAGCCACTGGCTAGTGGACTCGACGTCGAGGGCGCGCACGCGAGTCTTGTCGAGAGGGTGCACCCGTCGTTAAACTCAACTCTGAACTTGCATGCGGCTGATCACTTCATGATCCTGCAGTCTGAGAAGTGCCGACCCACCGATTCTGACGACTTGGACACAACTCCGCTCCTCGGGATCAGGGAGACCACATTCTATTCACCGCAAGCGTTGACGCCTTCCTCCCCCTGTGGAGTCTGCTGTGTTGGCCTGTCCAGGCATCGGCTGGCTCGTCGTTGGCACCAAAGAGACGTGTTTCACAATCCAATCAATGCCTTGCTCATCCTGAGCACCTCCGTGTTGCAGGCGGTATTGAGACCGACCACTGCTTCACTATCATTGTTCTGGGCTCACCGTTCGGTTTGTCTTTGGTTTTTTGCTTGAATCGACCGAACGCCATTCACATGCTTGTTCCTGTGCTGCGCCCATCCTCCAGTTCTTGCACGACTCTGGCATTTGCCGGTTGACCTGGTCTCAGTCAATCTAGGACTGGCCATGGTTGAGAGGCCTTGTCTGATGAGATTCGATGCTTCCTTGCCGATGGGAATCTTAGATGATCTCAGATGCAAACGAATGCGTTTGGCTGGAGGTGTCGTCCCGGCAAACACTGAAAGGTGCCGCTCAAGTATGGTTCGCGGACAATCAATCGGCATGCCAATCCTCAGGATAGGCGAAGCCGCTATAGTCCATCGCGTTGCCTGTCACGCGATGGCCTCCTGGATGCGTGGTCTTTCCCAGCAGCGTGACGGCGTGACTGCTCCAGCGTGCAGGAATGCTGCGTATCGTGCATACTGTACCGCCTTCGATTCTCTCACTGATGCTCTGCTTCGGGTTTGTCTTTGGGTTTTGCAACCCAAAGTAACTTTGGGGGTTCTTGCAGCCTGTAGCCATACCTGTGCATGGGGTCCACTGCAAAGTCATGTTGTATCCCTTTTGAAGGCATGATTTTATAGGCTTGTTGTAACTATGGACGAACGCAAGCTCCGCACTCCGCACCCTCTCCGCCGCCTTTCGTTTCTTGAACTGAAAGGGGGTAGACAAGAAGTTCGAACCTGTTGAACACCCGTATTAAAAATTCGCGAGATGAGGGGAAGACCTGAAGGGCAACGTGAAGTCTTTTTCTTACAAGGGAGGTCTGCAGGGCTTGGGAAAGTTTCGGACAAGACTCCACCTTCGTGATCCATCGTGCAAAGGGGTGTGCTGAGTGACAGGATGCTGCTTGTCGCGTGAATTCCAACACACCATGGATAGAATAGTGTGTGCATTGTGTGGTCAGAACAACATACACAGCACAATGGCGAGCTGAAGATGTCCCCTCGCCGCATTCGCGACAGCTGCTAGTGCTCAGGACTAGTTACGGTATTCCTGTCCTTCACCTCGCCTCTTGGATCTTCATCGGGTGCAGTGAGGGCCATTGAGCAGTTGCATTGGGAATCTAAGAGGCTAAGAGTCTAGACGAGTCTAGCTTTTGCACGCTTTGTGTTTGTGTGTGTGCGCGTGCAATTGAAGGCTTGCTGCATCTGCCGCAAGCCTTGAGGTTCCACTGCACCAATGAAGCCAACATCCGAGCAATCTGTGGTGCAGGGATCGCAGGCTCAGAAGCTCTTTACCTTGCAAAAGCACATAAAAAGCACTCAAGCCCTGCATTTGGGCGGCAGCTCTTGAAGCTTGAAGCTTGAAGCCCTCTTTCAGTCTTTGAGGCGCCACTGGAGCTCTTTCTGGGATTGCATCAGCGGGCATGGGTGCCTACCTCGCTTGCCAGGAAGGCCAGCAACTCGCCAATCAAAGAACTGATTGCGAGACTCTCGCCTTTCGAGCTGCCACTAAGCGCTTGAGCGAAGCCGAGGAGGAGCGACCAAACCACGGCATTGACAAAGAAGTTTGTCACGGAATTCCTGACAGAGGCGCGGCTAGCGGAAGAAAGACTCACTCCTTTGATCCAACTTCTTATGCCGACAATGCCGCACGTCCGACCAGAAGTTGTATCGCAGTAGGCACAACTCGTATGTTCGGTATGTTGGTGACCACATGGGTTGCGACATTTTTTTTGACCCATAGATCCCTTAGTCACAGTCACACCGAGTCACGCGGGTGGGAGCTGGAACGGTTTATTATACAGGGCGTGGAGATATGCGCTGTCAGCACCATGAATGTGAGCATACGGCGGGAATGGACCGAAAAGCATGGAATAGCAACAGCTGCAAGGAGTCCACGAGCATTGTCCAAGAATCATGCCTGCCACCTAGCCTTTCAGGGCTGGACTAGTTCAGTTGCGGTCGTCGACGACAGTGCAGCAATGTGCAACTCAGGCCCTGATCTGTCTCTAAACTGCTTCGTGGAATTCACGGCGTTCTTCTCGAATTGTCCGGCCGGTGCGCCCACTCCAGGTCCTCCAGGTGCCAGCCGGAAGGGAACGTGCAAAGCATTGCAAACATTTGCAAACCATCGGAGGTGTTAACTCCTATCTGCCCAGATCTGCCCAGGAGCGGTGACTGCATCATGCCCCGTGGTTCCATCTTCTCAAGCCTGCCCAGGTCTCTGCCTCAGACTCTTCTGCCGTAGCTTCGTGGGCACCGATTCAAGATAATTGAAGGTCCATGGAGGTAAATATGGAGGTCCATGGTCCAGGAGCGCATGAGCATGTGCCAATGCCGTCCAATTTGCCCTAGAAGCACCCTCTTGTAGATCTCTACTGGAGGGGCCTGTCTGCTCACAGTAGGTCCGAAGCAGGCTCCCCAGCTCAACTGAAAAGACAATACCATGAAGAAGCTTCGAGTCGCTGATGGGCCATGTGAAGCAAAGACTCGAACCAGCGGGACGGGGTCATGTTTAGTATCGGTGGAGTCTGCTGTCGTCTGTGCTCCTGGTGCTCCGCACGTGATGGCCGCAGACTTATGCGAATCGGCTTTCCAGCATGCAGTTTTCTCGTTCCTGCTCATATGTCTTAGCAACCTGCGGAATGAAGACATTGCTCCCAGAAGCTTTGGCATGAGTTTGGAAAGCCGCTTCGATGCGCACGATACTCCTTTCAGCGCAGGATTCCGTACCCTCGATGTGAGCGTATGCGAGCGTGACTGTAATATTTACATATATATGTATGTAATATGTATAGATATATATATATATGTATATATATATGTGCATATGGATGTAGGTCTGGTCAGTGCCACGCCTGTCTGTAAAACTTGGGTGGGTTGGCTTCCATTCCAGTCCTCCCGCTCTTGGGGCTTGTACCTGCCATCAGCTGATGCCTCAAGCATGAAGTGATTGTCGCACCACCAGCATGTGTTTGCAGGCCCTTTAACGAGTCAGCATGTACCAGCACACACTCACCAAAGGCTTTTCCTGGCATTGTCTAAACGAAGCTGCCAGCAGGCATTCAGAATTGCTCTGACGAGTTTGAGGCGATTCGAGATAACTTGCTGCCCAGCTGCGCAAAATCTCTCCCTCTCTCTCTCTTTCTTTCTTGATTTCCCTCTTTCTCTCTTTCTCCCTTCCTCCCTTCCTCCCTTTCTCCCTTCCTCCCTTTCTCCCTTTCTCCCTTTCTCCCTTTCTCCCTTTCTCCCTTTCTCCCTTTCTCCCTTTCTCCGTTTCTCCCTTTCTCCGTTTCTCCCTTTCTGCGTTTCTCCCTTTCTCCCTTTCTCTCCCTTTCTCTCCCTTTCTCTCCCTTTCTCTCCCTTTCTCTCCCTTTCTCTCCCTTTCTCTCCCTTTCTCTCCCTTTCTCTCCCTTTCTCTCCCTTTCTCTCCCTTTCTCTCCCTTTCTCTCCCTTTCTCTCCCTTTCTCTCCCTTTCTCTCCCTTCTCTCCCTTTCTCCCCCTTTCTCCCCCTTTCTCCCCCTTTCTCCCTCTTTCTCCCTTTTTCTCCCTTTTTCTCCCTTTTTCTCACTTTTTCTCCCTTTCTCTCCCTTTCTCTCCCTTTCTCTCTCTTTCTCTCTCTTTCTCTCTCTGTCTCTCTCTTTCTCGCTCTCTTTCTGCACCGCCTTACACTGTGCATCCTGATGTGCACGCTTTCTAAGGACAACTTGGTTTCCTTTTCCCGCAAACATGCCCGAGTTCAACTTCCTTGCCGCTGGGCCATTTGAACCAAGTACCCGGGGGCAAAGGCCAAGAAGAAGCACAGAAGAAGGCTTCTCCAGCCCAGGTAGAGAACGCTCAATCTTGCTTCGAGTACCTGTGTCTTGCCTCACGATGTAAGGCATTATCGGCCCAGTGGCACTCGTGGTCACGTTCCTCATGGCTGTTCTGATTGAGTGCTCTGTGTTCCCAGGACCTGTTTCCTGACTACCCCATCTCCACGGCGCCTCGAAAGTGACGCGCCTGGGCCTGGAATGCCTTGGAATGCCATGGAATGTCTTGGATGCCCATGTCCAAACCCCAAACTCAACATCAAGTCAAGGGATGTCCGCTTTAAAGACTTGAAAAAGCGGGGGGCTTTGTTGGCGCAGCGTCTTAGGCACTTCGGAGTATGCTTCTGCAGAAAGTCGTGGGCCCTCTTCCGGAACGTTGGCGCTACGTGGCAGCTAAGTCCTTTTGTGTCAGCTGACAGCCACAGAAGCCAAGCCCTCCGAAGGGTCTACATCTGCCCTGCTGCATCCGACCGCATCCCTTGGGAAAGACGTGCCATGTCAGAGTTTCGTCGCACTCGGGACTAGCTGAGGCTCCTTGATTCATGGCGGTGATGGCCGCCTGGTAACGAAGCAAGGCATGTGCACATTAATTTCCCAGATCTCAGGCAACCCGAGTCTTTGTTCACTGTTGTCACGTTTACTTGTCCTGTCACATGTGCTCCTGTTTCTTCAGACTGGTATTCACGCGCTTGAGCGTTCTGGAGCTAAAGGTGCTCGCGAGGGCAAGGTTCCTGCCGAAGGGCTGGAGTGGCCTGACCCAGTTGGTTCGTCGTTCTGGGGTTCGGGCTTTTGTTCAGACTTTAGGGTTCAGGGTTTCAGGGTTCTTGATGTCTCTCTTTTTTTTGAGTTGCGAGCGTAGGGTTGCGGGCAGAGTGACGATGACAAGCCCTCAACGAAAGCAGGACGAGTGAGCGCCTGTGGAATGGCAGCGTTGGCCAAACCACCAGTTCCACACGCCGGGTCCTCGGCATCAGTCCCTTTGACACTCGTACTTCAAGTCAAAGAATGTGGGCCATCCGAATGAACAAAGCGTAGATTCGATCGAGCTTCGTGAATAGACGGCCTCATGCCGGTTTGAGGTTGAGGTGGTGTAGACGGCTAGAGACAGGTTCGCAACTCATAACTTTAAGTACTCGCACTCTGCGAGGTTGAGCTGCTTTCATGTTCCCAGCTTCTCCCCCCTCGCAAGGCCAATCGATCTTGCACGAAGCGCTGCAAGGCGATCGTTTTTTGGAGGAGGCTGGCCTGCGACACAGTAGAGCCCCTGCAACTGCTTTAGCCAGCAACTCCACCAGAAAAATTCAGAGCACAGTCGCACGATGTTGCACGATGCACGCAGAGCCCACGCAGGCAGCCCGGGAGCTGCACAAGTTTGAGGCTGCTCACGCGCCTTGCTCTTCTTTGGAGCTCCCTTCTCTTGTCGGCTGTTCATAATGTCATGCAGCACATGGATTTAGACGTGCGTAAATGCCAATAACCGTCCGTGATCACCTGTGGAATGCCCAGGATGTCTGCCCAGTTAGTGATGGACCGCTCTTGGATGACAATCCTGTGACGATCCCGTGATCCACCGCGAATTCAATATCTCTTGCTGGCCTGTCCTCAACTTGTCAGGCAGCGCCCTGTGAAGGCTTCAGACTGCAATCACATCGAAAGGGTTTGAATGCGGTCACGAGTTCCTGGCCCATGGACAATTCATGGTCTCACCAGGGCTTTTTCCCGGTTTTGAAGCCGCAGGCGTATAGTGCAGTCAGTTGGCCAGTACGTGCCTCTTAGATCACAGGTGCCCGCTCAGACCATTTCCGATGGCGTTTATCTATTACGATATATTACGATAATCTCGCCATGAGTCCATCTGAGCAGTTTCAGCGGTCGAGCTGTAAGTCAGCTGGGTCACCTGGGTTGCATGTGTGCAGAGTTCTTCCAAGGAGGAGAGTGCTCAGTGGCACCGTTTCCGCAATGCCGGTATGTTGCCAGGCGTTCAGAATCATCATGCGTCTCTTTGGCGTTGGCAGGAAATTGGTAGATCGTATCAATTTGATCATTTTGAGCCATATCCCGTGGTTCTGTGGTGGAGGAGGCTGCATCTGCCGCAGCTACATGACCTCAAATCCCGAAAGTGTGGACATGTTCTTGGTGTTCTCGACGTCTGTCACATCTGTCACCGACAAGTTGTCGGTAGGCCCTCGATAGCACTTCAAGCAAAGTCCAACAGCAACTATCGAACATGCCAGCAGTGCAATCAGTGGTACGTGACTGAATGTCGCCGCCCTGGCTATGATTGACTTCGACGAGCTAGACGAGGCCTGCCCAGCAAACCCAAGAGCAAACGACCTGACGTTTACACTGACAGGTCAGTAAACGAACGCCGGGAACTTGAATGGTGAAAAAGATGTTTCTGTCTTATAATTGTACATCTTTCTGAGAGGGCTTCGACAATCAAACGATATCAAGAACATGTGTGTCTTTGATACCTCATCCTGAAGGTCCACTAGGTAGCTGAAGCTGACGTTGCTGCGCTGAGCCCATAAGTGAGCTGAAATTTGAAGCCGTGCCGAGCTGGGCACACCCGATCACGTATCACGATGAATCACGTGACAGGTGGAGCCTGAAAGGCGACCCTACGACTTGGTCGTCTTCGGAGCCACAGGTGCGCCTTCGCTGCTGACAGAAATGTCTCAAATGCCAAGAAGACCCTAAACGCTTGTGCCCGCCGCCTGCTGGTCCAACGCAGGGTGTAGCGTGCGCACGGCAGACATCGGTCGCTTGGTGCACCACACACATGAGGAGCTCCTCCAAGCTGTTCGGGCAGGTCTTACAGGGAAGGGAGGGGTGGTTGGGAAGGGGGGGAAAGAGACCAGATCTTGGTCCAGACGCTGGTCAGGGGCCGAGGCGAATTTCCACGATGTCCCGAAGCATCTCGCTCCATAGATTAAAGTTGTTTCTTCGTCTGTCCTTGCTTGTCCCTGCTCCTTTCAGGCTACAGTGGCTGCCTCGCGGTGGAACATCTAGATGCACTGCTGTCGCTGCCAGCGGCAGTGCCGCACCGATGGGCGATCGCTGGCAGGCTCTTCATCTCCCGCTGGTCACATGTGCAGACGATGCGTTGATCTTGTGAGGAGCGAGGAAAAGCTGCAGAAGATGGCGGCCCGATGCAAGACGCATCCGAAGGCATTGGCGTAGTTAATTGATCAGTTGGGCCTCACAATGATCCTGCGTGATGCAGGGATGTTTTTGTCGCGAGGTCATTGTGGCCAACTCCAAGTCTGAGATTGAGCAGATGGCAGAGGAGAGCCTGCTTGGTTTTGCATGCGTGGCAAGATCGAGACCAAAACGTTGCATGCATCAGGATTCCACAGTCATCCTGGCGCTGGCAGGCACCCTCGAACGAGATGAAACGAGTAAGCGGCCGCATCAGCTGCCGTGCTTTGCTTGGCGCCGTCTACTGAGTTCTGCGTGAGGCCCCTATCTGGCTTGCGGCGAGCAAGTGCTTCGGGCCTGTGCAGCCCCCTCAGACACGGACTTGACCCTGCTCGCTGTGGGAGGGCCGCTCTTCCTCTGACTCCGCTCCCCTTCTGCGCCGTTGCAACAGCTACGAACCGAAATTTGGGGGGAGTGAGAGATTTACAGAGCAAACCAACACAAAACGACTGTCCGGCGAGCTTGAGTACTGGAACCCGCAAACTGAGTAGAAGCCGAGTAGTGTCCAAAACCGTAAGCAAGACAAAAATGTTTTGACAGAAAGTGCGCTTTGAACCAGCTGAGTCGCAACCCAGCAAATCACATAAACAAAGCAACAAGTTCTACGTTCTATTCAAAAGTGCGCGGGAAACCGAACCCGCCAGTTCTCACCTGGACAGGGGCAGTGGGCCGTCACGGCCACAGGACCCTCTCGAGGGGCCCTATCCACTGGGTAGAAAAAGAAGATAGAAGAACAAGTTTTTTTTTTGATGGGAGAAGCTTGTCTCAGACACTGGAGGGGGCAGGGCCGGGCAGGGCTTTCGGGGCTTTCGGGGCTTTCGGGGCTTTCGGGGCTTTCGGGGCTTTCGGGGGGTCTCAGCTCTTGAAGTCGCCGGGGGGCGAGACTCGATTGTGTGTCGGCGGAGCTGCCAAGTTGAAACTGACAAAAGCCATTTGAAAGTTGCTTTCCATGCTTGAGCGTGTTACTCGAGTGTCAAGCAGCGCTGAGTTTGTAAGTGAGCTTTAAGGCTCTTGACCAAAAAATGCCAGCGTAGACCCCAAACATTGAGCGACACAATGTGGAAACGGAAGAGCATTCCGAGGGTCTTCCAAACCTACGCCGAGAGCATTCCAAGCGCTCCAGACAACATTCCAGTGGCGCTCGAAGAACATTCTTCAAGAAAACTCCAAGACAATCCCAAGAGCTCAACAAGAACACTTCAAGGACTATGCTTCATGGGGACACGATAGAGCGACTTGGAGCCACTGGTGTTCCAGACGCCCTCCGCGCACTACGTTTGTGCTAAAAAAATCGTTTTTCGAGCACCTGGTGCTCCAGACGTTTTCCACGTACTGCCTTTGTATACTACATTGTGAGCAGTCGTGAGCCAAGATGTTCAACAGCGGGGCTCGCCAACCAGACGTCCGAAAGGGATGACAGTTCCGAGGATTGTGCCGTCGATGCGCACGGCGCCTAGGCGGGAGAGCGACTTCCAACACCCGAGATGCAAAAGATGCCCAACCTCTTGCATATGGCGAACTGCGACGTCCAAAAGCGATGACAGTTTCAAGGATGGCGATGTCGATGCGCACGGCGCCTAGGCTCAAGCGCGAGTTCCACTGTAATGTCGCAAATTACAATTGCCCTTAGCATGGCCGCAGACAGCGAAGCCATCCAATGTGAATCCACGCGCTTGGCGCGTTTACTGCACGGGGCCTGGGCGGAGAGCACGATTTCCACCCTCGAACGCGAAGCCACAAGCATGCAATTTGCGCTGTTTCAATCAAGACCCGAGAAATCCACCACAAGCCGCTGTGGAAAAAAGTACGATTTTCCTCCAAAGTGCGATCACCGCTCGAGGAAGAACGTCCGCGTGTCGAGTGCGTTTCGCTCGCGCAACTCGATCTAAAACCCTTTTAAGTTGAACGTAACAGTCCCAGTGTTGGGAAATTTCAAGCCTTCTTTGTGCGAAACTTTGCGGAACAGAAGTTGAGCTTGCGCAAAACACGGTTTGAACGGTTGTTTTCGCAATGCTGCTTGCTAATTTTGCATCTTCAAGCAACCTTGCTGATCATCAGAAGTCGGCCTTATGATTGCCACAAAGTTTACGTTTGAGATGGCTCACGGGCAAGTTGAAAGATGTTGAAAGCGCGCGACTTGCAATGAAACTTGCAAGTTTCCTGTCGGAGGTGTGGGGTGCGGGCACTGCAGAGCAGGGGGGTTGCAGGGAGCCAGCATCAGCCAGCAGCAGCAGAAACCCACAAGTGCACATGAAGCATCATGAAGCACTGCTGCCGAGCCGCTTGAACTTTGGGCCTGCGACCAAACTTGGCACTTCAAGGGGTTTGCAGTCACTTGAAAGCTGCGCCTCGGCTGTAACGTTCCTCTTAAGCCAGCAGTCTCTCAAACAGTGCTGTTGTTGAGCCGAGTTTAGTTCTCGAGGTTAACCGGGCTGGTTGTTCTATCAGAAAACAGTTCCTGCCGGCAGGTGGAGAAAGGTACCCACTACATCGATATCACCGGAGAGGCATGGCTACACAGCACTGTGAAGCTCTTGCGAAGCAGAAAGCATTCTTGGAAGCGCCTTTTACTTGGGAAAGCTTTGCATGTGGCCCGGGGGGCAGATGTGATCCACTGTTGCGAGAGGCTTCGGTGCGCCACCCCATTGAATCCGACTTAACGCCTACAGTGGCCTACAGTGTTGGCTCCCGTGGGATTTTGGAAGCCCGTCACCCTTGCCCCACAAACCACATCAACCACCGCGAAAGAGAGGAGGAGAGGTGCTGGCATGCACCCAGGAGTTATGAGGATATTCCAATATTCCCGTGTCTTCACTCTACATGCCTCTCGGCTTAGGAGCCGGTGCTAGATTGTGTTATGAAGATCGTACGAATCGGTCGTACGAAGATTTGTTTGCTGAAAGGTGAACTTCTCTCACTTCGCCATCCAAAAGTATCACAAAGCCGCGAAGGACAAAGGCTGCTTTGCATCGGGCGTTGGACGACGTTGCACAGCCTTGAAAATTGGTTGCGAGGCATCATGATCGTGCAGTTTGCGGGTGCGATGTCAGTCCCCGACGATCTTGCTGGCTACCTTCTGGTCAGTACCGGGCCGACAATGCTGTCAAACTTATACACAGTTCTCGGAATTGAAAGGGCATCCGACAAGAATGCTTGACAGAGCACTGATAGAGCTAGCAGGGCCATTTTGTTGAGAGTGCCAAGGGAAGCTCGGCCCGCTGAAGCAGCTGCGGGTCTATACCTGGGGCTCCTTGGTGAAAGGCATTCCAGCATCCTGCAGAGTGTCAGAGAGATGAGATGATGTGACATGATCGGAGATGGTAGGAGCGCACCAAGGCTTCGGTCTGAGGGGTGGCGGCTCCTTTCAGACAGGGATGGAGGTGGTGGAGTGGCTGCCTGAGACTATGAAAAGAGTTGTTGCTGAATGTAAGAACCAACGGGATGCGAAAGTCCTACCTAGTCAACTCCACTCGACCACGCAAGCAGAGTCCCTTTTCTGATATTTTCTGATCAGAAGAGGGAATGGGGCCTCACTGATCATGTCGCTCAAACACATCTCACGCAACGGGGCCGAGACCAATGCGGCCGGCCTCGGAAATTGGAGCCAGTGGGCTAGACATTGCAGGCCCGAATCAGTGAGCGGGTCGACCTCCCTGCCCGCAAGAGATACGACAACATTATCCAGGCGCTGTCCATGTCTGCCGGGGTGGTGAAGGCTGCCCTGCACCGCATGATCCCGCTACCCGACGAGCACTCGAAGAGCTCGAAAGCTCGAGGGATCGGCGCGGAAGTCGCATGTTCTGACAGCCGAACCACACCTTCGTGATGATCGGGTAAGAACGGCACGGCTGCCAACCATCACATCGAGACTGATCCCGCCACGTCCTGACGGGTGCAAGATGGTTCAAGGCACACACCACGATTCTCGAGAAACAGCTGCTGTCGGTAAGTTGGTTCTTCTGAGGCGGATGTTGCCCGAATCCATGGCCGTGCTCGCCTTGGCTGTCCTGAGATGTCTCGAGTTATGACGGAGCACCGGCAAATTCGGACACTTGTTCGGATTCCTGCTTGGCTATGCCGGCTCAAGGAGGCTGTATCAGTAGGCCCGACATGACCATCGGACAACAGATCGCGCTGGTAGTGATCCCACGAGGTGCTTGCTCGCCAGCCATTGTAAGTGATCTACAACTACTGGCGAGAGGAAGCTACAAAGTACAAAGCGCTCTCAGGGCCATAGCTAGGCACATTTCCGTACTCAGCTGGCACTGGCAAAGAAAAGCGCGATGGCGCAAGTTGGCGTCGGCCAACCTTGCCACTGGAGGCAGAGTGGCCAGGCAGACTTGGGCTAAGTGCTGAGCTGGTTGGCAGTATACAGCACATGGCAGACGAGTGTATTGCTGCCGCGGCCATTGCTCCGAGATGCTCCGAACTGCCAGTACAAATGTTGCGCCAGCGCCAGGCTGCACCATGCCTCGCGACAGCCTTCGCTGGCGTGTCAAGCGGAGCGCTTTTTGATCTTGACATTTGTGCAGTCAGGGCCGGGATGTATGCACACTTGCAGTTAGCTTCGACTTATCGACTTGCCTTTGATACCAGTTCTCGATTTCGTTGTTGATTCAAAGGATTTAGCGGTGGTTTTAGCTTCCGCGGCTGAAGTTTTGTAACGGAGCAGGCGATGGGAACTGGAGGCCTACAACAGGTGGGAAGTTTCCCCAAAACCGGGTGCGATGCCTTGAAGCTTGGCCGATTCAACCTCGCAAAGCTCTTCCCTCGCCGGGCTTCTCAGCTCGCTGCCCACGGCTCGGCATTGATACGTACCTTCGAGCAGAATCCCTTCCCTAAACTGTAGAACTGTCCTGACCTTCAGAGAGCTTCAGAGCGCTTTGGGGAAGTGCTTGTGCTGCAGACTGGTGCTTTCCAGGAGGCATTCAGAGGACAGCGATGGATTGAGCGTGCGCTCCTCAACTTTCACTGAGAGCACTGCGTGTTTGACAGACTTTCACCGTGTGGTGAAATGAGATGGTATGAAAACATATGAAACGTGAAGTCTGATGAGGAATCCAGTATCGAAGAGGTGGAGGCAGGAAGCCGAGCCGTTCCTTTCCAGCCCACATCACCCTGCCCTCGAAATGGATGAGTTTTTGTTGAGCTCCGCTCTTGCTCCGCACCTGAGCGCTCGCTTGCTGCCAGAGCAGGGGATGTGAGAGCCGTAAGAGAACCAGGAGGGAACGCAAGGGCCGCAAGGGGAACAAAGGGACACAAAGAAGCACTGAATCCCGCTGCCCATGTGGCCTTGAGGCATGGCACACGGTCGGAAGTTCGGACATCTCCACCCCACCAACAGAAACGGGAATATCCATGTCCGATTTATAAAACCACTGGTTTCCACAGCCAGGATTCACACAACCAAAGGCAGTTACTTGCACGTTTGCAGCATCCGAACGTCCCCAGTTGTACGAATCTGCGTTTGCCAGTTGCACGAATCCACTTGCAACGACATGTTTCATGGAGGCGGTCTTATGAGAAACCACTCAGAACACGCTTGTCGTCCGTGCCACGCTGTTTCACCACAGTCTTCGCAGAGGCTGTGGACATTGTTGTCGGCCCGAATCCTTCGGAGGCAAGGCGGAAGATGGCGAGTTTCCGAAATGCAACGATAAGAACTGATGCCAGTTGCACATAGCTGCACCAAGCTGGTCCTGCCAGACCGCAAGAGACGCCTTGACCCAGCGTTTTCGAAACTTTGCCGCGGGAGGTGCAGTCGACCGGAATGTTTAGACGTCCAAGTCTCCATGTCCCAACTTGAAAGCAACTCATGTGCTGACCAGTACTCAAGTACTCAGGTCATCTCTATTGCACACCGTTGCACACCGTTGCTCTGCGCAGGCCCCGGCGGTGACACTCCAGACAGATTCCAAGAAAGATGTGCACAAGGTCATGCCGTAGCTCTTTTTTTTTGCATCTTGCTTGGTGTTGTGGTCAAGTTGCTTGAACGTTAGCTGTGTCCTGTAGCTTCCCGTTTCGGGTGACAGCACCGGTACGCGCCTACGCCTAGGTTTTCCATGCATTCCCATGCTGCGTTTGTATCCGGTCCCCAACGCCCGTTTTCTTCAGTATCTGATTGCCCGAGCATCCAGCCGGGGCCATGCGGTGATGTCCATGTCCTGGAGCATCTGATTGCTGGAATAACAATGCCAACAACCATGTAACTACATCCACTGCGACTAGACACAGATCCATGCCCGAGATTTCGTCCGTGCAAGTGACCGTCAAACTCAAAAGAAATTCCCCTGAGTCACCTCGCCTGAGTCGAAACCAATAAAGGCATGCCAGACTCAAGTCGAAATTCAAAGACCTTTACAGAGAAAGCCGGGAAGTCCGAACAACTCGTGATCTCGGATGTGCTAGGGCTGCGAGGGTCGGGTTCAAGCGTTTGGGTTTTAGGGCTTAGGGCCCTTCAGAGTTTTAGGGGTGTTGGAGCTTAGGGTATGGGCTTTAAAGCCTTCAGGGTTTTAGAACCTATGTCATGCGCTCCTGCTTCGGTGGGTCCTAGGGCCAATGAGATTTGGGGTTATATTGATGACTTCAAGATTTTAAGGGTAGGGTTGCGGCGTGTATTCACGGTTTCAGGACGTTAAGGCTTTCACGGTTTTGCGTGGTCAAGCTCATCTCCATTTTCTCGCTGTTTTCTGACTGGCACTGTTTGTTTTCTTACAAGTGTTGCTTTCTTTTCTGACTCGGTCTTTTGGTTTTCGGACTCGGCCCATCCTGTTTTCGACTCATCTTTTCCGACACTGCTACCATCCCACGGACCCGTAAGTACACCCTAAACCATCCCAAGCCCGAAGCCCGAAAAGCATACTAAAGTTTTAGTCACTTAATAGAGTCGTTGAAAGCCTCCCTGAACCTGAGCTTGAAATCACGGTGAAAATGCAAGTCGGTCAGCGGTTCGCATTGAAATTTGCATGCTACCTCACGTTGAATGCTGCCTCGGCCCGCTGGCCAGCACGCATTGTTGAGGCAGCTTAGCTTTGTCTTTTTTTTTTCGCTGTGCCAGCCAACATGAGTGCTGCCTCGCCCTGTTTACGCCGTGGAAGCGAAGTGGAACGTTGTTTGAGGCAGAATGCATACCGACCTCCTAGAGTTAGGCCCCGAGTTTGCTCAGCCTCCAGTGTTCGGCCACCTCCCGAAACCAAGAAATGTTAACCGTCGTAAACGCCGGCTCTAGAGTTCTAGAATGCCGGAAAATGCATGGGCCATTGCCTTGTTGCGCCTGTTCGTCCATGCAGCTTGAATGGAGTGCTGGACACACATGTCAACGTGTGGGACAGCTTTTCAACGACGGTCGAGGACCCCTGAGTTCAAGGGCGTGCGTTGCCCTCAGTGATTGCATGATGCTTGGCTGCACGCATAACAACATACACCCAGTTCGCTCAGCAAGGATGAGGACACACTTTTCCCGAACCCAGTCTATTGTTACCTTCGGACTGGCATTATTATGAACATAATTTTAGGCTTCAGCTGCTTGAGTCAGGTCTGATCATGGGCCATGTTGCAGAGATGTGCCTGCTTGCATTTGTTTGCTGCGCAGCACCGTTCCCATAACACTCTGCATCCTAGCTATCTGTTCTGCTTGGTCCTTGCCTCGGTCGCATCCCAGGATTATGCAAGGGATCTCGCAGCTCCCTCAGAGAACGTGTGTTCTCAGTCGGACACGGATGGTGACGGTTTTGCTCTCAGGGGCGGTCAAAACACCGAATCCTTTGGCACGGCTCTCCACCTTGGTCCGACCTGTACGATCCTCTGCAGCGTCAGTGCCTCAGACTTCTCTGATGTGAGAAGTGAAGGACCGGACAGAACTTGAGGCAACTGTACATCATTCTAAGCAAGCTTCATGTCCCTGGGACCCCGGCAGAAGGGCAGAAGGGCAGAAGGGCAGAAGGGCAGAAGGGCAGAAGGGCAGAAGGGCAGAAGGGCAGAAGGGCAGAAGGGCAGAAGGGCAGAAGGGCAGAAGGGCAGAAGGGCAGAAGGGCAGAAGGGCAGAAGGGCAGAAGGGCAGGGCAGAAGGGCAGAAGGGCAGAAGGGCAGAAGGGCAGAAGGGCAGAATGGCAAAGCGCGCGCAGCAGGTTTGCTCTTTCAACACCGCCAACCGGCCCGAGCCCGAGGTCGACTTGGGGCAGAGTGACGGCTTCAAAAAGCATCCACAACAGCATGCAAGAAAGTTCATCATCACAAAATCTATTTGGCTTCAACAATATTCAAGAGGCATACAAAACTACACAACCATATGTCTGTTTTTTGTATGAATATGTGTGATGCTCCGAGGAGTTGCAAGAAGTCCTGGCTTTGCGACTTCTGTCATGCGCAGGGTGCCTAGAATTCCCAGCTATGCGTTCCACACGATCTCATGCTCGAAGCTCTTCTGCAGGCGTGCAACAAACCCCAGGAACAAGAAGAAGGGCTCTGGGGCGTGGCAGGCCAGTCAAACACAAGTACCATTGAGCCGCCAGCGTTCTTCCGACACAAAGCACTTAAAGCACTCAAAGCACTCCTCGGGAATTCCGGGGGAAGGTTGCCCAGCTTCCATCAGACCGCATCGCCGTGCTCTACGAGGTGCATTGAGCCCCAAGGGTTAGGGGCCGCTTCTAGGCTTGGATGAGCTCCAGGAACTGCGGCAATCCCACGAAGCTACACACAGGACACAGGCAGGGGCCTTGTGTGATCTTATATGGCCTGTTTCAGTCGTAGGGGCGTCTTGATGCGTTGAACGATGAGGAAGTTCAGGAAGTGTTCTGCATGCCCTCCTGCTGAGGAAATAGCAATGGACCCACAACTTTCAGGAAGATTCTGAGATATTTTTTGTCGCGGCTTTCACGCTCCCAGGAGGCCTTCCGCCATCCGAGAACCATTCCAGCTCCCCTGAGAGCATGGCGACTTGGAGGGAACCCCTTGCAGGAAGTTCAGGGGTTTGAGAATTCGAGCGTTTCTG